GTGGAAAATGTTGGTAGCAGCGCGCAAATCTATCCTCATTATATTCTACTTTGTGCGTACGTCAGCTTCCCTGTGTCAGGTTGCTGGGAAAAAACACCCACACATACACACACTGTGCTAAGACAGATTCAGGGTCACCGCAGGGGAAGGGTCAAACTCAGACGTGTGAGGCGGCTTTATCCTTCACCTAGGCGTGCCATTATCCATTTCATCCTGGTTAAGGGTTTGTTTTGGGGTGAATCATAAATCACCGTTATTTAGTCCTCGCCTGACCCCCGTGCTAGTCCAGCGCCTTTACTGCGTGTTTTTTTAAATAGTAGATGCATTATAAATCCTACATGTTTTTGTATTATTCTATTAATGAAGGAAAATATCGTAAGCATTATTGATATACAAATACGTTCATCTAGCATGACCGTAAGCGGCCAAACTGAAACTAGCATGGCAATGATACTAGTCCTTGAGCGCGGCGAATTTATGTCTGCAGAAGTCCTTTTCACTGTAAGTTCTGCTTCGAAGTGAATATAAGAAGTTTGGCAGATTTGCTTACTTTCAATTGACGCAATTTTGAAAAAAACTCGGGACGCTTGACGGGGTTTGAACCCGCATATTAGAAAATGTCTTATCCTGAAACCAACGCTCTAACCACTAAGCCACAATCGCCCCACTTCGTGCCATGACTGTAATCACACTTGGGTCGATATTACCCGCCCAAGTTTTCCACTTGTATGGAATCCACCAATACGGAACAGCAAGCTGACTGCCGGGTGCCTCCATTTTTTTCACAATTTGGTCAACTGAAATTAAGCAAATCTGCCAAATCTCCCAATAATTAAGTCAGCCTCGTAGTCATTCTCGTGGATTCTAGATGATCGCTTAGGAAATCCTCCTTGAGCAGTCAGCTTGCTGTTCCGTGTTGGTGGATTTCATCTGAGCGGTAAAGATGGGCGGGTAGTATCGACCCAAGTGTGATTAAATTTATGGCGCGAGTTGGTGCGTTTTTGGGTTAGTGATTGGAGCGTTGGCTTCTGGTACATGCCTTTTCTAATACGCTGGTCCAAATTCTGCCGAACGCCTCGAGTTTTTACCACATGAATGGTTTAAATGCTCATGTTCAATAGGTTGTAAAACTAAAATGTTAGCATTTTGGGGGTGTCCCCAATATGTCCCACAATATGTCCCCCAAAATGAAAACCGCAGTAGCCACAAGGCGACACAGATACTTACGGTGCTTCCTCGTTTGCCGGTTCAACATCACTAAAGCAGATTAAAAGACGACATAAGCGGCTGTGAAAAAACGTTCGCAAGCATTTTTTGAAATGTTTAGACGTGCAACAAAAATAAATGTTGTTATACTAAAATTTATTTCATGGTAGCACACCCAGTACAGTTAATAGCGGTTGATAACTCAAAGTAATGTGTTGAAGAAAACAATTTAGAAGATTGACTTAGAATCTACTCAAATTGATGTTGGGATAAGTTGAACCGCAAAGGATACGCATCAATGGTGGCCGCCATTACCCACATCGGAGCGGAAGGAGTTTCGTAACAGCGCGCAGGTCCGCTCTAATAATATTATAATGCCTGCGGAAGTATACTACCCTGTACAACCTTGCTCCACAACACACATATACATATACGCAGCGCCGAGACAGGCAGAGGAAGACCGCAGTCCGGATTGGATTCCGGAGTTTCAGTCAGCGTGAGCCTACGCAACGGTTTGCTGTCATTCACACCATTGTTGTCTAAAAGATGTTTTTGTTGCGCATTTCAAGTCACTCTTCCCCTCCCCTTGCCGAAAACGCCCTGCTGATCCAGCGCATTTACCGCGAGGTTTCCCAACACTTACTGTATTCTAAAGCCCAGAGCATTGCGTAATTTTCTGCCTAAAAAGGCAAAACGCGTAAGCCTTATATTTCTTAATTTGTGCAAATAGTCTGCTCGTGTGGCGGCAGAGACAGAAATGATCTTCGCAGTTATGCTAGTTATTGTGCGTGGTGACGTGCTGTCTAGCAGAACTCGCAGATGGCATTTCCGCCATTAGTATTGCCTGCCAAGGAATAGGTTAAAAAATCAGTTCAACAGATTGTTATGCCTAAACATTCGCTCTATTGAGGTTATCAGGCCTGGAAAAAAAATGAGCGACGCGCATATCGGCAAAAAAGGAAAACCACACAACATCGCCAAGGCGAGGCAGACACTTACACTTCATTGTTCTGTACCGACATCTTCGTACTATACAAATAACAAACACAGACATAATTAGTATACAGAAATAATCTTTGGTAGGACTTTTGTGAATTTTTTTAAATATTTATTTACTAAAATATCCCCCAGGTTTT